CGATATGTGTGATTCAAGTGTGAAAGTTCCAGGTTCAAATCTCTGCCCTGACTGACAAAGAAATTGGACTTCTACATCCTGGGAAGTGACCAACAAGTTATGCTGGCCTGGCACTGGGTAGGATCTCTCGCTCTCGTTTGGAGCTGCCCTGCTTCGTATAAATACTCGTTGGGTGAGAATCTCCTGTATAACCCGCTGAATATGGCACTCATATGGCTTAATATGAAATGATTTTGTATGAAGTGGAAGAGGTCCAACAGAAGATTAGTGTCCCACATGAGAACAGCCAGTGGCCTGGAGGCCTGTTTGAGTTTTGAGATTTAGATATGATTAAAGACTTGAACATTTTTTTTCTTATATGCCAGGTAAGTGTCCTGTTTGCATGGTGGTGACTGTTCTGGTAGGGTATTGGATATTTAAACTTTGTACTGGAAGAGTTGCATGGAACTACTAATAAATTTCTTCAGACTCAGTGTACCTAAGCTCTTGCAAACCTTCTTGCTTATGTTATTTTAACTTCACCCATAATCTACACACCTGAGTGAAATTGATGTAAACACTGATTAATCTAATTTTTAAAGCCTGATTTTAGGAAAACATATCAGACACTGGGTTAAGGATGTGTATTGGTTTTAACCTGATCAAATGAAAACAATTTGATCATTTGTATTTACAAATATGGAGAGAGCTTATAGGATTGCTTGTCCCCCCTGAGTATACGTTTGTACCACTTCAGCTTTGAATTATTCAATCAAGAATAATTCTGAGATTTAAAAATGTGCTTCCCTGGTATAAAGTAGCACAGAGGTTAATTCTATTACTCTTTTCTATCTCATCTGAAACAAGTGATGAGAGTCTTCAATCTTGTGCTTGCTGCTTGCTGGAAAAGCCTTTATTTAAAAGAAGCTGCTGCTGGTACGTTTTCCCTGAGTAGATACAATTATCTGTTGCAGTTTATCAGGAAAGATGAGATTCAAAATGGCATCCTAGCTGATAAATTTTTATTCAGTTCTGAAAGTGACATTAAAAATTGTTACTAATTGCCACTTCTGAATGACCTTGTAAGTGATAAGCTACATTGCTATGTCATTATTGCAGAAGAGTAATGTTCAACTATTTCTTTTGTCTTAATTGCCTTTTGATCAGCTCTGAAATTTCTGAATGCTGTTTACTTAATGACCTTTCAGAGTAAAGGCCATTTATTGATTATACACATGTAATCTAATGTTTTGCCATTTTATGATTAGTATAATAGCACCAAAATGAAGAAGTTCAGTAACAGTGCTGGAAGTATGCGTGTTGGAATGTAGAAGTTGCCTTACTCACTAAAATATTAAAACTCTCAAAGTAAAGTCACTTTAACTTCAGTGGTAGTTAGATCAAACCTTTGACATAGCTACCAGTAGTGCACTTAAATGTCTGTGCCTAGAGGTGTGGGTGTATCACCCATTCTGTTCTCTTTTAGGATTTGAGATAGCACCCATCATTACATTGTCTATGGTTTCAAGTTGCTTCTGACATCTTCCTTTTAAAAGCATACATTAAACCTTGTATGCATGATGAAAGTATTATCTCCTTTTCTGCCTAACGGTAATTTAAATTACTGAGATGCTTTATGAAAGCTTTTTTTTTTTTTTTCTCTCCAACCAGAGCTGAATTTTAAAATATATTGCATACAGTGCAGTCTATAAGGACAATCATAAGAACTACCCTGACTGATTAACTGGTACATCCAAGTAAAAAAAAAAAACAAACCAAAAAACAACCAACAAAACAACAGAGGGGGGAAAACCTTCCATACCATATCTTCCTATATAATCCCTTATTATGACCACAGAATAAAATCAAGCAGTAAAGCCTCTTATGTCTGTAAATACCCTTACCATACAAATAAAATAAAATTGTGAGAACTGTAAATGTTATTAATCTTCATACAGAGCTAGGGGAGAGAAGACAGTTTATAATAGCAGCCTTGTAGTGCTATTAGTTTGTAACAATAGAACTGAATAATTGACATGTTTCATCTTACTTTGCATCTCACTCACAAAACATTCAAGTTCCTGTTTCTGGGTGTGAAGAAAACTTTACAAAATAATTACATGCAGTATTAAATAGCGCTGTTATGGGAAGTGAAGGGGGTCGTGCTGGGAATTTCCAAGAGGCAGAAAGAGAAGTACGGGTATCCTTACCTTTTAAAAGGTTATAACCTAACCAGAGAGAACCGTGCCTACCAATTTCATTTGCAGTGTCTCTGCACAATTCTGACATCTGCCTAAAATCTGCAGGCAATCAATATATAGAAATGTAATCGGCTAAAAGATGTAATTTCAATGGCACAAGAAATTAGAAATTAGATATTCTGGGACATTCTCCAGTCAGCCACTAGTAACCATGAACTGTTAGTAATTCAGGCAGGTATGTATCACAGCACAGCAGATGCTTGGATTGCTCTGTGGGGTTTGTGGATTTAAGCTTCTATGGCTGTCAGGGCAAATGGGTTTGAGTGATAAATTCACCTTTCTTAAAAAGATGCAACTGTGGATAGCTTCTTATGAGTATACTCTAAGATGGAAGCATTATGGAGCTAGAGCCCCCCAAGGACACACTGGTTTATGTGTTCTTATAACAAGTATATGTAATTTACTAGAAATGCATTCTTAGAACCATAGAAACGCTGGTGAAACTGGAGAATTTGCTTGGTAACTTGGACCTGGTGCTTTTTGTCTCTTTGAGCATGATGTTTATCCTTCAGATGACTTAGATTTAATTGTTATAAAGCAGTGCTTGACAAGGCATACTAGAAAACTATTAGTGCTGTGTCTTTAATCTTCCTCTTCTTCCTCTCTTTTATAATTTCTCTTCTTGCACTGTCTGGCTACGTACCTGAGAGCTACCAGGTTTACCATCAAATTCTTGTTTACGCCTGACTGTATGATGGAGACATTCAACCTTATAAGTAATAAGCTCATTAAGCCTAGTCTGCATCAGCCTAAGCTGCTTTAACTCTAAGCCATGGAGATGCCTTTTGTGAGGGGCTCTCCAATCCCACAATTTGTTCCTTTAGAGCCTTAATTTTGTCATTTTCTGTGTGGTTTTTTTTTCATCTACTCAAAGGGCAATTATCTACCTTGCTCCAGGAGACTTTGGAGCCTTCTGACAGGTCAAGGAAAGTATTTCTATGTTAAGATTTTGATGCTGGAATTTCAACAGATGATGATAAATGTAATTAAAAGTGATTAAATTAGTCTGCTGTGCTGGCCTTATGGACTCAGAGTAAAGGCCAGAATTAGGCAGGCAGAGGAACAGGCTTAGTGCTTAGGTTTGTTTGGTGGGATTTTTAAAAATTTGTTGACACTAGAGGAAATCAGCATGTATTCATGTATTCAGGGCTAGCTACTGCTTCATCCTGTTTATAGCTATCTTATGTAATAGAAGAACTATATTTTAAACTGGAGGTGGCTCCACATGATAAGACCAAATGTGTTTCCTAACCCTGCCCCAAACCTACTGAAAAAATGGTGTGGGACTTGATTTTTTTTTTTTTTCCTTAGCTGCAGGGATGTGTTAAAATTACCTGTTAATACATACACCCACTTGCTTATGAGCCCTGTTTGCATCAACACACATTTATTTCTCAGTCCTGACATTTTACTAGGCACAAAATATACAAATAAACAAAATTACTGCTTAATTTTCTAGCTTTTCCATAGGATTCAGTTTAGTGTCCTTGTAATAAGAGATTTGTGACATCTTATGCATTATTAATACCAGCTTGTATTCTAGTTTGATTTTTGGATAAGTTTGTCCTTGATGTAGGTCTATTAAAGACTAATTTGTTACACCAAAAGTTCAGGCATACATCAGAGTTTAGGATATGCCATCATCTTGCAGTGTAGGCAGGTAAATTCTGTGCCTACCATAAGCTTTCACTGGCCTCTTTGGAGAGTCTTGCATGTTGTCATACCCTAGAATTGTCCAGACTGTCACAAAAACTTCCTTTCTTCTCTTGCAGTCTTTTAGTTAATTCCTTACTCTGTCAAAAAAAACCTCAAAAAACCTGTGTGAAAAATTGACTTGTAACCTTAGAGACATTACAAGTCAGTGGTAGTTACCTGTCATACTTTTCTTTCCTTTTTACAATCTCCTCTTACTAGTTTTCTGTAAAATGCTAATTTCTAGTCACAAAGGTATTTGGACACTAATTCTTTGAGTAGTTACTAAGTAAAAGGCTATGCACATGACCAGTGCTAGTCAACAAATGTTGAATTCTCAATATTGTTGTCAATACTGCATATGATTTTCTTTGCAGGCTCAGTTGGATAAGTTGTCAGGATTCATGTGCTATTGTGGAGTAGTGCTAATCTGTAGTTCATCCTTCTACATGGACAGAAATGCCCTTAAAATGCTTTGGGATCCCTTGAATTGAAGAGGATCTTATAAAAGTGCGATGCATGTTATTAGATGTTTGTAAGAGTTCAAGGATGTGTTGCGTTTCAGAAGACTCTCATTATAGGAGCAGGTTCTACTCTGATAAATTATAAAAATGACAGCTCAGTTATAATTATTCCCAGTGCTAATTATGTGTCAGAATTATCCGAAACCCTGTATCAGACATGGCTTGCATACGCATTACCTGTGTAATCATGAAACTGTGCTTTTTCTGATGTAAACTTACTGAGGGCTCTACTCTACAAATCCTTCGTTTTGAGGGCTCCTTTCTCACCCAAGCAGGCCCTATGATTTCAGGAAAACTAATTAATCGGGGTAAGGATGTTCATGACAAGCTTTTAAAGTAGTTTTATAATTTTACCCTGTGGGGAAAAACTTGAAAATACTTTACAGAAAAGGTTGTGAACTATTTATTTCTCTCAGTCCTTCAGTACTCACGGTGGACATCTGAGGACAAAATATATCTTTGCTGATTTATAGTCCATGAGAACTTGTCCTGTCTTATGCAAAGCTGTTTTAAGACTGTCTTTTTTTCTTTTTTTTCCCCCCAGCTTCTGGAAAAAACCAACAATATGTTTGAAGAATCTGATTCTGCAGCTACAAAAAGTCCTTTGCATTTAGCCGTAAGTATGAGACGTGTAAAGTGTTTGATCATTATCTCCTAGAGCAGTTCCTTAACCTCTGTCTTTGAAGCAGGTTTAATCATAGACTTGTTTTGAAAAAGCTGGGAAGGGATGTAGGCCTAGATGTAACAAAAGCAGGTTCTGGGCCGGAATCGTTAATTAAGTTTTTGACCGTTGAAGCTCTTGGTTCTTAAACTCAGGTAAGAAGACGACACAGACACTGAAGTGAAATTAGATGGAAAATTGCAACTTTATTTATAACTAGTTTATAAATTTGGGGCCGGAACTTCAGCCTATGGCTTTGATCATGGAATGGGATATGCTGATGTTCTACTGGAGATATTCAGAGTGCAAAAAACTGTCTGGTACACAGCAAGGTGTGGGAAAGCATGCTTACACCCCAGCAGTGCCCTGGGAATGTGCCACAGAAACTGTGCTACCAAAAGGGGATCCAGCACGTGTGGCCTCGGAGATCCAATAGCTCCCCTTTCCCAAGAGCTCAAGATTCATGATCCCTCTCTCCAGTTTTCTTCTGCAGAATCACAGAATAGTTGAAGTCGACATGAACCTCCGGAGATGAGCTAGTCCCACCTCCGTGCTAAAAGCAGTCAGCTAGACCAGGTTTTCTCAGGGCCGTGCCCCATCACATTTAGAATATCTCCAAGCATGGAGAGTTCACAGCCTCCAGGCAATCTATTCCAATGTCTGACCACCATCACAGTAAAAACGGGGCGTTTTTGCATTAAATGGAATTTCCTGTGTTTAAATTTGGGCCCATTGCCTCTTGTCACTGGGCACTCCTGAGAAGAGTCTGGCTCTGTCTTCTTTGCTCCCCCATCAGGTGTTTATACACATCGGTAAGACCCCCCTGAGCATTTTCTTTTTGAGGCTGAACAGTCCCAGCTCTCTCAGCCTTTCCTCATACATCTTTCACAGACTGGCTCTTCACTGAATACCCACCCTCACCATGAAGCTGTCCTCCTCTTGAAAGGGAAACAACTTGCTTAGTCAAAAATAGGGGCAAGTTTTAGTTCTGTAGCGATCATATCTCTGTTTGCCAGTCAGCCAAAACAGCTCTGACTTGACATTTGAATTATCCCCATGTAATCTGAGGGAATAAGAGCCAAAACAGTTGGGTTAAAAGACTGAGTTTGTCACTGAACTCTTCTTCCCATCTTTTTTCTGCAATTTGAAGACTGCAGGAAGGAGGGTGTCGCTCCCAAGCCCAAAGAGGAGTTACAAGTTGCACTATCAGCAACGCAAATTCCTGTGCTGGGAAGGGACTTGCCCTGCAGCTGGCCAGACAGCAAACTCCTTGCCTCTCTGGTCCCTGTAGGGCAGAATCCTTGCAAGGACACTGCCAGTGGCTCTCTGTCTTGTATCTCTTGCTGGTTAACAGCAGTTCATTCACCTTAGACACCCCAAACCCACAGTTTAAAACTAAAAAAGCTTACATAAAACATCACTATTTCACAGTTCAATTGCAGCCATCCAGGAGTGTCTCCGATATTTGTTTCAAACCCTCCCATGTATTGGGGTGCCTGTGGTCATACTTCCCTAGGTCTAGCAGCGTCCACACGAATGTCTCCACGCGTGGCTCTCCGTCTTGTATCTCTTGCTGGTTAACAGCAGAACAACATTCATTAGACACCCCAAACCCACAGTTTAAAACTAAAAAAGCTTACATAAAACATCACTATTTCACAGTTCAATTGCAGCCATCCAGGAGTGTCTCCGATATTTGTTTCAAACCCTCCCATGTATTGGGGTGCCTGTGGTCATACTTCCCTAGGTCTAGCAGCGTCCACACGAATGTCTCCACGCATGGATCCAGAAAGCCAGCAACCTACACCAAAACATGAAGTCCTGTCAAATGGCTGATACGGTGCAGTGGCCAAGGCCTCTGCTTACAGACATTTGACCCTAGAATGGAAATAGGATTTAGAAAGAAGGAGTGGACTAGCAGCCAACAAAATACTGACCTGCCATTCTCTGAGGCTACGGTGCATGGGTTGAGTAAATGACTGCACAAGGCAAACCAACAGGAAGAAAAAGTCAACTTCATTATCCTTTCAAGGAGAGGATGGGCTATACAGTCTGCATGGCACCTTCAAGATAGATACCTCATATTGTGTCAAAGATCAGGTTTTTGATAGTTGTTTTCTAAGTAGAATTGTCATAAAGAAGGAAAGCTGACAACTGCATCAGAGTATTTTCTGAGATATGGGTTCCCTGTGCTCTAACCTCCCTTTGCTTTTCTTTTTCTGCTTTTGCCTTTGCTTTCCTTACGTAGTTGTCTTGGTCTAGCAGGGAAACAACTGTTTGTTCCCTGCACTGTTCTGTTCTTTTCAACTTTTGATGAAGGTCAATAGGAGCAAGCTGCTGCTTAACCTTGAAATTCAGTGGCTCTCTGGTTCCTTCATGTTTGCATTTCTCTACAGTTTTCATTTGTTGCTTCAACTCTGGTAATACCAATTATACATAGAATCATAGAATCGTTTAGGTTGGAAAAGACCTTTAAGATCATCCAGTCCAGCCAGTAACCTAACACTGCCAAGTCCACCACTAAACCAGTTAAGGGTGGAGTAGCAATTTCATGTTTCCTGGCTTGGTGGCTGGATTATTTATAATGAAAGTAAAATCTAGGAATCATTAAGATTGGAAAGGACCTCTAAGATCATCAGTCCAACTATCAACCCAACACCACCATGCCCACTAAACCATGTCCCAAAGTGCCACGTCTACCTGTTTTTTGAACCCTTCCAGGGATGGTGACTCCACCACCTCTCTGGGCAGCCTGTTCCAATGCTTGACTACCCTTTCCATGAAGAAATTTTTCCTAGTATCTAATCTAAACCTCCCCTAGTGCAGCTTGAGCCAATTTCTTCTCATCCTATCGCTAGCATTCATATATAAATAAAAGGATGTTCTCAGTGAGTCTGACAGTAAGGAGAGGAGGGCAATCCCTACAAAGCTGAATGAAATGTTTCCAGTTTCTGGGGCTATCCACTGAGTTTTTGCAATGTCGCCTGTGTTTGTGCTGTTGGCCCAAATGTGGCTGTAGGTCTGCAAGTGCATCTACTTGTCCACTGTAGTTGTTCTACACAATGATCCTACTGGCAGGAATACTCCATGAAGCATCAGCTATAAACAGCAGGTCAAGTTTGTGTTTGTATTTGCACAAAAATCTGGTTTGAGAATGGCTTTCATTTAGTTGGAGACCAGTAGATACGTTGAATTTAGGACCCATTAGGTGATAATCCACATGACTGACCAGCATCACTACTGAATCAAGTTGTTGAAGCAAACCTTGCTCTCAAAGATACTGTAGAATGTGAAAAAATGAATTGTTGATTTACCTGTGCTGAATTGGTAAATTATTGCCTGAAATTCCTTGCATTAGAAGGTTAGAGCAAATCAACAATCATAATTTCTGTCCCTAAACACTAGGAATTTTTTAGTTTCTTGGCTACAGTGTAATTTGGGAAAATCCTTTCAAGTTGAAGAGAGAGTCATAAGGAATCAAGAAAACTGTGTCATTTCTACTGTGTTTAGGAGACTGTGACAATGATGGATTTTATTCACGTTTTATCTGAAAGTTTGAAAGACAAGAGTTGTGTTCTTTACATGACTCATTTCATATTTCTAGGCCTATAATGGTCATCACCAAGCCTTGGAGGTACTTCTCCAATCTCTGGTAGATCTGGATATTAAGGACGAGAAGGGACGTACTGCTTTGGACCTGGCTGCGTTTAAAGGACATGCGGAGTGCGTGGAAGCTCTCATCAGCCAGGGTGCTTCTGTCACTGTAAAAGACAATGTCACCAAAAGGACCCCCCTCCACGCCTCAGGTGAGTGTGATGTTATGTTACATTTGTGATATAAATGCTACAACACAGAAGCCGTTACCTTTACCTACCTACTATCCCTATGCACATTTCTTCTAAACGAAAGAAGAAGATTTTGACTTGTACTGAGGACTGCTGCTTGTTTGCTCTTATCTTTCATTTCCTTGGTCTTTTTTCCTCTGTCCCAGTGGTTCAGTCCTCCCTGACACAGAATCCTGTATTTTTCCACACCACTACTGCTCTGCCCTTACCTGATTGCCTCTACTTTACCTTACCTCTCTGCTACCACATACTTTGTAAGATGTGTGATGTTTCCCCTATGATGCTTTTTCTTAATGGTTCCTCAGCCAAAAATTCAGGGGAAAGAGAAAACGCTTGCCTCACTGCTTCTCCTAAGGAAGAAAGGTTGCAAATACAGGTAGGTTCTCATCGGTGATGAAATTATCCTGGTGTTCAAAACTTTCAACCTTTTGTAGGGGCAACACTGCAGAAATTCGCCCCCCTTCAGACGTTATCCTCCTCCTGAGCTAGCTTCTGAACTTGCTGTTGCTGGGAGTCTGCTCCATTCCTCATGTGTTGAGTGTTAATTATACAACGTGCATAATTAACTGGAAAATGTAGAATTTTCCTTTTATTTAAAGATTATTATTTAATATGTACCTGTCAGATAAATACGCAGGCGTGCCAAAGGGAGCGTTGCTCTTCTAGCTGTTCACCGAGGGACTCAGTACAGCATAGTGGTGACCTCTAGTGGGAAGTAAAATTAATACGTCATTGCTTAACAATTACTTTCAGGGCCAGACTTCATTGTCTTTCTGTTTATCTTTTAATTTTCCTTAGATTAAAATGCATATACATTCTCTAATACCAGTTTGTTCTCTGTGTGTGATCATCTAAATGCAACCTGGAAGCATAAGGACAGATAGACTATTATCAATTTTGTGTGCAGTACTGAAGAAAATGTGCATAATAGATCTTCACAGCATACTAAAAAATGCTTTCTGCCTTCTTAAAGTTTGCATCGGAACCGCATACATTACTCCCTACAATAAACTAATGATATAGAGATGTGCTACCAGAGCTTACCAGAATTCAGTGAGAGGGGGTTTTAGTTGTTTTTGATAAAAACACAAAATAGTAACTCCAGCTGATCCTCAGCCTGGTAGAACTGTTGGTTTAATTAACTTAAATCAAGATCAGTGCCACCACAAAACTGGAGCTGTGTTGGTCAAGAGCTTTCCTATAGTCTCTTCAAAAATAGCTTGGGGTCTGATGATGAACAAGGTGTGACTTTGTCTGGTACTTCATCGCTATAGCAATGATTTTGCATTTATTTAAAAATTTGGTTATAGTGACATAGTTTTCTTGTTGTCACAGCTGAATTGTAAGGGTTCTGCAGTACTGAGAAAAGTAAATGGTAACAAAGCCATATTTTTGTTAGCAGCTCTGACTTAAAATATGGATTTGTTGAACAGATTTGTTGAACAGAATTGAGTAGATTTGTTGAACAGAAGATGTTATTTTAATACACACATTTCTTACCTTCATAAAAATTCTCATTGTGAGGTTTTTTCCCTATTTTAATTTCTCTTTTAATTGCCTCCATCACTGTAGTATGAGTGCATTCCATGTAAAACCAGTAGGAAGATTCATTGTAGACTTTTCTAGTCTGTAAAATTTTTTTGTGTAAAAAAATAAAATTTTAAATTTTGAAAGATTAAAAAAAGATTATCGAGGGATACAAGCAAAATGTTCTTTAAATCTGCAGTGAAACAAAATAAGTTAGATGTTAGATTTAAAAAAAGGGGGTGGAGGGAAGTCAAGAAGCAAGAAAGCCCTACCCACGGGAATGAGACACTAAAGAAAACACATAGCTTAAGAAGGGAAAACACTGCACAGAGAAGTTCAATATTTGAACTCACAGTAAAGGAAGTTTATCACTGTCATGAATTTGGAGGCTTTAAAATCGGAGGTAACTGCACTTTGGGTAAATATCCACTAAGACAACGTTTCGATCAAGAGCTATGCAGAGTTCTGTGGAAATTAGCTCTGGAATAAAGCTTCTATCTCCAACTATTATGAAAAGCCGCTTGCAATCTGATGATTTTTATTATGTTGTTTCATAACAGTACATCTTGTTTAGGAGTGTTTTAGCAAAGAACGATGCCACCTATTGGAAACTCTGCATGGTGCCACTGTAATATCCAGCATTTTTTATTTGCAATGCAAGTGTAAGAGGTAAACTGGCATATTTTGAGAAATCAAACAGAATTCCCCCTGAATTAATCCCTTGAGTGACAGTGCACATTTGCATACATGAAAGTGAATACTTGCATGTTTTTCCTGTGCACTGGAAAGAAACAAGAAGGCATGTGTGCCCATCCCCTTAAACGTGTTTGCCTTCATTCCTTCTAATTACACAAGCACAATTGCAGAACACAACAGTTAAGGAGACCTGAAGTGGTGGATTGGATTACAGGATTCTGCAGAGCTCTGTTCAGTAAAGGGATTTGTAACTTTAGTAGAGAAGTCACCTAATGAAGTAGTTATTTTTTCTGTCTCTCCGCCTCAGGGAATAGACTTCCTCTGACCTCATAACATGGAGAATTTCCTTAGCCTAAATTATATGTTCCCTGCATAATTTTATTACCACCAGTCTTTCCTCTGGCTTGCTTGGGGAATCCATTGCAAATGTTCCCCTAGTGTTAGTGTTGTAGCTCTGTTGGCAAAACTAATGTTCCCTGCAGGGAACATTAATGCTTAGCAATTGCTGGGTCAGCTCCTAGGAGTTTCTGGGAGTATCTGTTCTGAAACGCATTTACCAAAATCCTTTTCAGACATCGGTGTGAACAAGTTATGATTTCTCTTCCTCCTGCTGGGAGAAAGAACACTTTTTTTCTTTTTTTTCTCTCTAAGCCAGTGACTCATCAGCCCTGCAGAACTGTTTACATGTTACGTATGTGGCATTACTTAGTGGTAAATAACTAAAAATGTCTTATTTTTCTGGGTAGAGCAACTAGGATTATTTTTGGATGAGTGATTTAAATGTGATGATGTCCGCCCATTTCTCTGCCAGAATGATGTGACATAGGTGGTGTCCAAGGGTTTTGCCTCAGCCCACAGGGTGTAGGCAGTGTGAATGCATGACTTACTGTAATAAGAACACAATCTATATCTACCGAGCACAGGAATTATTGGTTTTCAAAGAAGAAAAGACTGTTTTCTTCATCCCATGAGTTGTATAAAGCTGAAGCCTTTAAGCCAGCTGACACACAGATGGGTTTCCAGTGTCAGGCCCTGCAAAATGTAGTAACTCAGAGCTGTTTTCCAACAGCAGTGGGTTACATTTTAAAAAGGAAACCCTGTTTTTGAGAAGTAGCAGTGGCTTCCAATAACATTAAACTAGAAAAGCTGGAAAAACCCAAAAGGAATTTTAGTCTCTGGTGTTATGTGCTGTTATGCATATGATATTTGTATCATTGGCCATTCTTTGCAGATGCTTCTATTTTCATAGCAGCACTGAAGAACTTGCTTGTACAGCGCACATAAAATTAATGAGCCTTGCCAACATACTTCCTGCTGCGTTCCAAATCTGATTGCAGAAAGCCTTGTCTGCCCGCTCGCTCTGAGGGATTTTGAAATGCTGTCTGGTTTAGTAGATATCTCAGTAGTGAAAATCACAATTTCTGTGTTACTCATTTGGGATTTTTGTATGTAAGAGAACTAATCCTCATCTTACTGAGGTCAGGGAAAAAAGAGCTCAGCATTTTATTGGCACAAGTTAAATGAAAATTGTGGGAATATTAATTTCTTATATTGTGGAATATTTTCCTTGTTTATAAGGAAATTTCTTATCCATGAGCATTCCAATGGAAAAGTACCTTAAATCAAAGGTATTTTAATTAAACATCCTTTTTTTTCTTTATAGTCATTAATGGCCATACACCTTGTTTACGGTTGTTGCTAGAAGTTGCAGACAACCCTGACGTGACAGACGCCAAAGGACAGTAAGTTTTCTTTGTGATGGTTTTCTTTCAGCACTCTGATTCAAATAGCGTCTCAGATTTCTTACAAAAAAAAGCATTTATTTGAAATACTGTATTTCCTGCACTTCTCCTTATAGAATTTGGCAGAGATTACAAAGTACACATTCAGTTGATCTAAGCCATGTGGAAAGGATTATTCATTAATCTTAGCCTTTGCTTCATACTTTAAACAATTCTTCATAGATGCTGAGGGCCAGATTCAATAAAAACTAACAAGCTCCTGAGATGTTTCTGTAGAGAGTCTTTTTCTTTCTTAAAACATCGCTGTTTCAGGGTTTAGTCGGTATATTAGGCTGGTGCAGTGGACAGAATGTTTATTTGAGATGACACATGAATCTGAGATGTTCCTACAAAAATTTTACTTCTTGTTAAATGACAGTTATAGAGGGAGAATAAAGTATATTTTTAAGTGCAAATGTGAATGGTTTAAAAAAACTCATTTGGGGTGCCTGGAACGTATCTGACTATACATATAATTTTAAATGGTATTAGTCTTATCTAAAACGGAAGGAGAATAGATCCCTTTCAGAAAAAAATGGAAGATATGTTATTCCAAATTTTGGCTTGAATAGTTTCCTCATGTCCCTTCATCCCCTTTAAGCGATTGCACGGCATTTGCAAAAGAAATGTTTTGTGTGGTTGCCATCTTGGTAACTAGCAGGGACATTTGTTCACAACACTTGGGTACTGTAAAGCTCATGTGTCACTGGAGGTGACAATAATTGTAGATTATTAAGAGAACAGATTGTCTTGAATGATGTTGCTCTGTAAACTGCTTGCGAATGAGTTTTTTCCTGTTTCAGTCATGATAGTTGGTTGTTAAACATCTTAATAATTTCATGCAAAAGGTCTTCACTTGGGTGTTATATAGATGAGTACGGCAAAAGAAACAGGTTTGTGGGTAGGAACAGAGAGAAATGCAAGGCTTCCTGATTTCTCTCTTTCTATAAGTCAGCAGTGGCAAGAAGTATGTCATTTTATAGATGTGACTGGTTTGGTTTTGTTTTTTCTAGAACCCCACTGATGCTTGCAGTGGCATATGGGCACATTGATGCTGTTTCATTATTACTTGAAAAAGAAGCATCTGTAGATGCAGCTGATCTCCTGGGATGCACAGCTTTACATCGAGGGGTGACTTAATTTTTATGATTCTTAATTATTTGTTTTACTGTGACTACAACTTGCTTATAATATCAGGGATATTATTGAATGTAGGGGATGATTGGAAACCTGACCAACCACAGTCAATGAGGTAAAAAGCAGGACAGATCTACTCTCAGCAATGCTCTGCCTTTGACTTTATTTCACATTCATTTTAATTAATTAGATAAAATGCCAATCAGACCAATTTTTCTAGGCTCTAGATACTTTAAAATAGCAGTCATTATTCATATAATGGAGCACCTTATGAAAATAATTTAAGAGAACTGCCCAGCAGTTATTTTCATTTTTCTTGGGGAGGATGGTGTAAATAAGTAAGCCTTAAATTTTGATCTGGAGGCAGCGAAACTCGAGGCAGATCTAATCTTTTCTAGGACTCTGTTTCTTACCCAATGTGAAGTTGATGCAAGAGATGACATTTATACAGAACTCTGTTACAACTGCAGTGAGCAGTTCAGCTTAGGAGTCCAACACCTGTCTGAAATAAAAGCTATGGCATAAAATTTTTTCTGTATTGACAGCAATACATGAACATGACCAAGATTCCAAAGCTAACCTATGTATGACACAGAGGTCAGTGATAGTAGCTGGCCAGCTGTTAAAGGAGCTTTTCCTATTTCTAATGATATTCTTGATCCTTTTTTCCCTCAGTTCTTCTCTCACATTTGTTCATGGTTTTGAGAAGCCAGACCCTGGTTTTCTGAACCTCACCCCTTGTTCATCTGTTTTCTTAGTCTTAAACTCCTCCTTGCTTTTGTGCCTCACTTAGTGGTCTCTTCCGCAGACAGGGAATCAATGGCTTTGAAAGACAGCACCAAATACATTTCAGTGTATCACTTATCACAGGTACTCAGGGGAGCAAAGGAGCTTTCCTCTCTGCCTTCTGAATCCCATCCAGACCATTTCACATTCACAGGCATCAATCATGTTCCATATTTCCTGGGCAAGAATCTGTATTGTGTCAACCTCTTTACTCATTTCTTTGTTATCAGATTATGACTGGGCATGAAGAGTGTGTTCAGATGCTGTTAGAGAAAGAAGTATCTATTTTATGTAAAGACGCCAGAGGCAGGACACCTCTGCACTTCGCAGCAGCTCGGGGTCACGCCACTTGGCTGAGTGAATTACTGCAGATAGCACTTTCAGAGGAAGACTGCAGTTTGAAAGATAATCAAGGTTATACACCGCTGCACTGGGCTTGTTACAATGGTAAGTTTCTCCCTGTGGGCTTTTGCCAAGTTCAAACGTGGCCTCAGTTTTAGGGAAACATGGTAACAAAGCGGCACTTTGAGAAGCTTGAAACGAAGAGGCAAATTATCTCCTCTCTACTTGCTCTCTGTAGTTAGCATTGGCTGTGTTCACCCTTCAGTTCAGAAGCCAGGGAAATTCCAGCAATACTTCCCAGTGGCTTTGCAGCTCATTTGCTCCCAGTCATAGGAGGCCATGGTGAAATTCCTGTTTTACTGACTTCAGTGATGAAATTCTCATTGGTTTCTGTGGGGCCAGGAATGCTCCTTTGAGGTGTCACCTTCTTATTTATTGATGCAAGAGACCACATGAATAGATGGATATTATGAACTGAACTGATTATTCTAAACTGGATAATCTGAACTTGTTGCTTAATATAAGGATAAAGCTTCCTAATACCATAATTTAAGACCATCTTTGGAGATGTCTAAGGCAACCCACATAACATCACATAAAAAAGAGACTTTTTCTTCCTTTTCTTTTTTTCAGTAACTGCTAATATTAGCCTGGATCTATCTTGCTGCTGCCATAAAAAAAAAAAAAATTAAATCTTTTTACAATTTTATCACATACAAGCTTATATACACATTGTGTTCAGCTTTGAATTTAGTGTTAAGTTCTAATCTGTATAAGCCCAATATGAATTAAGTGAATTACTTGCTTTGTGCAACACTCTGAAATGTCTGATCTCTTGCAGGTCATGAAAACTGCATAGAGGTACTATTGGAACAAAAATTTTTCCGCACGTTCTATGGTAATAGCTTCTCTCCATTGCACTGTGCCGTGTAAGTAGAAACTCCAGTAACAAATGTTTTAGGATATGTCTGGAAAAAGTAGCAGTATAAGAAGTATTTTTTTAAAGATTATTTGCATAAGCAAATAATTTTAAAGCTGATAATAAAATTGTGCTTACAATTCTGCTGAAAAAGTGGCAGAATAAAGAGTATTTTTGCATCAACTTCATACATTTAGGCTATTTGATGAAATTCTGACTTGTAATTAAATAGCTGCGTTTCTGCTCCCTTTCTAGTTTCTTTTCCCTTGCTTACAACTACAGACCTATGCCTTTTCTTCACACAGGCTGGAACTTCATAGCTCTTCCATTCTTAGGCCAAGACCTGGGCTATAGTGCCTTGGTCCGTGTAAGTATGAGCTTGTGAGGTTCCTCTGAAACCTAGTGTCTGAAAGTTAAGAAATTTGTCAGGCTCAGGATGATTTTTTTTTAGCAATAGGAACAAAGCGTTAACGAAGGAAGGATTTGAAACAACAATCTATGTCATGCTAGAATGGTGTTCTGTGCAGGCCATATTTTTTCCAAGACATCCTCAGCTGAGTGTTTTCCAGACTGGTTTTCTTCATGGTCTTTTTTCCTTCTGAGATAATCTCTGTCTTGAAGGTTTTGTACTTCTTACCTTGGTCCTAGCCAAAGGGATTGATCAGTTACAGAGGCAGACTCTGTATCCAAAGTTCTCATATTACTTATGAACAACAAAAAAGTGGTGGCTATTCTGAGTTATTAATCTTCTTCCTTGCATATATTTTATACATATTCCATATTCAAATAAAGCCGTATGTTTTCATATGGGAAGGATTCGAATAGACCAAAATTGTAACTTTTCATAACATAATTGCAAATGTTTTTTTTTTTTTAAATGCAAGATTACTTTAGTTTGTAGGACATCCTTACTAAAACATGTAAGCCATCAGAAGAGTAAGGAATTAAACACTGAAAAAACAAATGCAAACCATCCTAATTTCTGCCAACAATTAGAATGACTGTGTTCTATTCTATGTTCTATTAGAAGAATGAGTGTCTTCCAGAAGTAATGATAGGAGTTACTGTTGTGTAGGCTTCCCTTCTACAGTCCACATCACTGGAAAGTAGAAAGTAATTTGTCATGTATCAAACTTGGAAATTATAAAAACCCCAATATATTAAAGAAATAACAGTTTTTACTCTGCTTAAAATAAAATGATTTGTGGCTGAAACATAGTATTTGAAATCTGAATTGAAAAATTTTTGTTCAGTATTTATATTCTTTTAAACTAGTATGTAATTCTCAAACTCATTAAAAATGTGTGCAACTTAAAAACGCATGCAAATTTAAAATTAAAACAGCTGCTAATCCAGCATGGGTGTGTGTTAGCTATACTGTAAGTCCAATACTGTCACTGAACACTGTTCATTTGCATAATGAAATGAGACAAATTAACAATAACCAGAAAGAGATTAATTGAGTACATCCATCAAGGAAAAGTATTAAACGTGTGAGTTGGAAGAGATGTGGGCTTCAGTACTTAAAACATTAGAATAAAGCTTTCTATATGTAGGTGTCTATGACTTGAGTGCTTTCCAGATCCAGGTGTGTTTGACATTTAGACTAAAGGATTTTAAGGTATTAAGGTTTTAATCCTATGTTTGTGCTGCACTTTCAATTACCTTTGTGCATAGTGAACTGCAGAATCAGCTTTGCTTTAGAGACTGAAATTCATAGTAGCAGATGCAGTTTGGTTAAACAGAGAGATGATGAATAATCAGAAATGTGACCGAAAGCATTATGGTAAAGGTATGTTAGGATAACTTATAAATAACCAATAAGAAATGTTAATGGGAAGTAAATTAACATTGGAAAGTGGGAAAAGATGTAGACTTTCTACCTTTTTGAAAATGTCTTTTCTTCTGGCAGAATCAATGATCACGAAAACTGTGCATCCCTGCTCATCGGAGCCATCGATGCCAGCATTGTCAATTGCAAAGATGACAAAGGAAGGTAATAGTTTCTTAAACAAATTTCATTGCTTCTTCATGAATCCATCTAGTATTTTTCATAGTTCTTTCTGAACCTCTGGAACTAATCCTTATCTGATACGGTTGAGCTAAGACTTGCCGTGCTGACTCTTTCAGACAGCAGTTTATACTGCATCAGAGTTAAATGGTGTCTCACTTGAAGCAAGAATACTATGAAGTATTCAATTTCATAGTACATATGAAAAGAAATACGAAAGAAATAGTATTTTGTTTGTTTAGAACAGCTATGACTGTAGCCTGTTTCCCTGAACCAGTTTTCTTTGTTAAATATTTAAACACATTTATCTTTGCTAAATGGAGTGATAGCATAGAAAAGTATTTCATTAAAAGCTTTGATGTTATGTTAGCATTCTTAGGGCACACAACTCAAAACATCTATGCAGAAAAATAATACAGATACAGCAAGAGATATGCATTCATCCAAATCCTTAATTTGTCATGTTGATAAACTCCTCACTCTGTGTGTGTGTATATATATGTATTTAATTAAAATTGCTGAAATTCTAAAAATTGAATACTCATTATTTCCATTAATTAAAACAAATTCCAGACCTTCAGTAATGGTGATTGCTTACTTCTATAAGGGTAAGACTACCTCACTCTTACTGATAAGCAAAACCTGAAGTAACACTATGAGCTGGGTTGTGCAGCAACTGTCTTTCATCTCTATTAGTCGCACTTCAGACCCAAAATGCCATAGGGAGACAGTGAACAAATTCCAGTGTCTCAGTCTTGTGGAAACCAATAACCTTCAAAGTGGATAGAATTCCTTCTGCCTTTTATAGTAATACTGTTATTGTACCTTGTTGCTGGAGTATTTTTGACCATACCTTAAAATACTTAGTTTTTTTTAAATAATGGACCTGTTCTTGTTAAAAAAATAAAATCAGATGAGTAAGAATGAGGGATTGTACTGCTTTTCATATTATGCAGTATGCTCCATTAAAATAAATATGCTGCTAATATGAGATTCTCCACAGCATCATATCTCCACAGCATCATATCCACCTTATGCTTACCTTTTTAAAAAGTTTATATTGCACCAGGACAGAGACTGTAAATATTATTTAACTTATTTCAGATGCTGCTACTATAAAGTTCCCCTGGTGATAACTCAAAATTTCATAGGAAAAAAAAAATTAAAAATGTCTTGCACTTGCAGGTTCTTGGGAAGGTAAGTAAACAGGAATATTGTCATTCTTTAGCAACAGCTGTGGTCATGTTACTTTCCCCACAGAACACCCCTTCACGCAGCAGCCTTCGCGGATCACGTGGAGTGCCTCCAGCTCCTCCTGAGTCACAGCGCACAAGTGAATGCTGCGGATCACGCAGGGAAAACACCTCTCATGATGGCAGCTCAAAACGGTCACATAGGTGCTGTAGGTAAGTACATCCTTGCCTCTGTGCATCTTGAAGGGTAAGTGCTCCTGCAGTTACTATCCCAAACAGGCAGTCATTTTTTTTCCTGTGAAAACTAAGGAAGAAAAACAAATTGTGTGGATGTCTGTAAGAAGCTACCTTTACATCTTTAAAAAAATTCTTTTTGTTTCTCAGTCATTGTTTCTTAGCAGTCTTGGTGAACATTTGCAATAACAAACTTGAGGCTTATTTCCTCCTAAGAGCACACTGTAAAGAGCATGAGGGGAGAAGTAATTCTATTCTCCTGTTTACTTCCTTGATTTTATGGAGCAGTAAAACTGCACGTGTGAAAGAGACTGTGTAACCTTTCTTCCCACTCTATTATAGGAAGTCCTATTCTTAAAATGGCAGCTATCAGCAGCTGCTTTTCCAGGCTAGACTATGTACTATAGATGTACAGATTTAGGGTCATATTGGCTTAACATAATTCCCTTTTCTCTAGCTTCAACAGCACAGACTGCACCCTAAGTTCTTTATATCCACTTAGTCCTCTCAAAGCAGGATTCAGTTATTTCCAGGAGAAGGTGATTCAGGCAGAACTTGCTGATCTGCAAATGGGGAAGTTTATACATAAATTAAGATGAATATATATTTGACAGCTTGGGGCGCCATGAATGAGCTATTAGCTCTGCCTTTACTTGCTGATTAACTGTGCAAGGTTAGTCTGTTCTCATTCATTTTTACTTCATGTTCATAAAGCTTACATCACATAAAGGCTTAATTGATTAGCATGTATGCACACATATATTGAAATAGTAAATTTTTTCCTCTGTTTTTATATGTTTGTCTGCCCATTGCGTTTGCTCATTGGTTTCTATTCTATACCTCAGACTTTTTGGTGAACATTGCCAAGGCTGATCTGACATTAAAAGATAAGGAGTTGAATACGTCTTTGCACTTGGCTAGCAGTAAAGTAAGTTGAAGACCTCTGTATGCTTCTATTCTCTTCTAAGTCTATATGTATGTGTATATTTATGCTCCTAAAAATTTTTCTGCAATGGAAATGTGATGGTCAAACTCGTGGTGAGGAAGGGAGCATTGTTCCAAGCTTTTTCTCAAGTCTGTTTCAAGGTTCAGTAAATTGCAAAATATGGGTGCCTCATAAGTGACAGCTGAAACATAAGGAAGGAAAACTAATGGAAATAATGGAAAATCCTTTGAGATTTTACCAAATAACCTCACTGTAAAATAGCTTAACATAGGTTCAGTGGCAAAAAAATGGTATTTATTCTTTTTTCTTGTTCTCCAATTTCTGTGGAAGGAACCCAGAATTTTTCCTTATGCTCTGTAGCAGTAAAACCAGAGGCATTGATTAGATTGGTGGTGGTGTCTTTTCCCACCCTTTCTTCTGATTGATTCCAATTGCTGCTGCTGTTTCTGCAAGAAAAAATGCCCTTGGGATTCCCTCTCCTGGGCCTTTTCTTTTGCTCCTATCCACAGATTGGATTCCAGTGTGATAGTATTACTGCAGTTTCTGCAGACACACGAGCCTTGCTGAATTCTCAAGGTCCTTCAGGCAGCTGTTCACCTGCCAGGGCTGTAGGCTCGTCGTCTGTGACTTGCTGTGCTGAAACAGTGCCAGAAATAAGGCCCAGATCGTATTATTCCCAAAGTTTCACTATTAGAGCTCTCACACTGAAGGGATTTTGTAGTAGCTTATTAATAATACAGAAAGGCATTTGAAGACCCAGAAAGTATAGTATCAGTTTTTGAGATTAAACCATCTTTTTCTATGTTACTATATCGTTCTAATAAATAATCCATTGAATGTTTTCTCAAGAGAAATAGTAGTCTTCTCTGAAAGCTGAGGAGGTGAATTCATATATAATGAATGGAGGGTGAATGTCTAAATTTCTAAATGTGCTAAAGCATCCTAGCAGTGGCAGTTTGCAAATGGTATTTTAAGGCTCCTACAGTTCTCCTACTACACATCCCTATAAGCTGAGTAGCATGTTTTGCATTTCAAATTGAGTTATTAAATTTCACTTTTATGTGTAACATTTCTTTTGCCTCAATTTCAAACTCCTCAGCAAATTAACACTATTTGGTTTTTTTCCCAACTACAGGGTCATGAAAAATGTGCCTTGTTAATACTTGACAAGATACAAGAACAGAGCCTTATTAATGCAAAAAATAATGCATTGCAGACGTAAGTATAGCCTGATCCTCTCAAGTTCAGTTGACTTACCTGAAGATTCTGATTTAGCATTTCAAATTCATGTCTCAGATTTTTTCATAGAACAAAAAAGTTAATTTCTGATTTTTTTGAGTGCTTGCCCTGGAAAAGACCAGATTTGTATTGCACTTTCTCTTTTAATTTTGATTCCTTTGATGCCAATTCTATACATGATCTGGTGAAAAAATTATATGAGGTCATTTATTTGAAGATTGTATTAAAATGTCTATTAATCATGTGAATATGTAAGTATACGTCTAGCATTTCCTAGCTTTTTGAGCTTTACCTTAAATCTAAATGATTTATTTAGACTTAGGGTGGTACATTAAATTTTCAGAGGGGTTTTTTAGGTGATATTTTATGTGCAACTCCTGCCCATATCACACATTATCAGCAGAGTTAGAACCGTTGATATTCTTACTCCAGCTGCAACTGTTTGGTATGGGGGAATCCCACAGGAGAAGATTCAACCACGAGTTCAGGTGGCAGATCATCTGGTGCTTGCAGAAGAATTCATTCCATCTTAGCCCCTTTTTTAACCCCTGCCAACATGAAATTGTTTTTCCTGTCCCACTAGCTGTCCCCAAACAGGAGCACTGGGTGTTGGCCCAGGAAGGGAGCAAACCAGTAGTTATTTTTAATTTCCAGCTCCTCTGCAGTAACAGAGATTAGCAATCGAGTATTCAAGGATAAAAAGGCAATACAATAATTTTGAACAGTCTGTAGCAGCCAGAATGAAGGATGGAACAAAGGCATTTCTTCAGTCTTAGACTCATCTTCCTTTTAAATGTCAACTGTGTGCTGCAAATGGTGGAAAAATGAGAGGTTTTTAAAGAAAGCCTTTAGACTGGAAAGTGTTAAGCAATCTTTGCGTATGTAAAGGTAATTATATTTGTCTTGCACATATGTTTTATAGATGTGGAACATGAGGATTATTTAAAGGCTGCAATATAATTTAATGTCTACAATATAATTGTAATGATCCAAAAAAGGAAAACATTCTTTTTCTGATGCTGGGTATGCTTTAAGCATTACCTAACTTCTTTTAGAAAGTCTCTTTTTAACTGAACTTGAATTTAGTTGTTATGTTTTTGTAGACCTCTCCATATTGCTGCACGAAACGGCTTAAAGTTGGTGGTTGAAGAGTTGCTAGCCAAAGGGGCATGCGTCCTAGCAGTAGATGAAAATGGTAAGTAAATAATACCCTTTGACAATCTTCAGTAGGACCCAACAGGTAATTTTACAACCGACTGAAGCAATAGACTTAAAAGGTGATGATAGACATCATTGATGCTTTTATCCTTCCAAGAGCAGACAATGTGCTGTGTGAGTACCTATTAAAAAAAAAAAAAGATACTATTTATTTTTTCTTTAATATAAAAATGTATTCTAAACATCACAGTGGTCCCTTTTACTGTTCATTTTGCATGTACTGTCAACAGCTAGTCTTTTTTAATGCTTGAGTGCAGTGGTAACTTGAATTTCCTAAACATGCAAGTGGCACCGGATAATTCTGACGCCTTGCAGAAGAATTAAGGATTATGCATTCAATCAGCGCATGTTTTAATGGGTAGGAAGAAAACCATCAACATACGTTTGATTGTGTCCTAGTTCATTCTGAGATCAAAGCTTGTGCTTTCCAATTGTCTGACCTCACGCAAGATGCAAGTAAATTACTGTTGCCTCATAAAATACATGATTAGTTAATAAATCTGATAATTTTGTTTCAAATCTCACTTAAGTCCTTCCCTAAATGTTATAAAGCCTATAGAGGGCTGTATTTCTATAATTAATATTTTCAAAAATGTCTTCCTAAAATAAGCTGGTCTTTCTTAAAATACTGACTTCATGGCATTAATGTAACAATTCAGTACCTCCATCTTCCCATATCTGTAAAGTAACAATAATAATACTCACCCATCATTGCAAGACATTTGAGATCTGTGGATGAAAAGAACTGAGTGGTGAGTATTTCCTATTAACCAAATGCTACGCAGATATACTTGCATGAATGAGTTCCACTTTAGTCATCTGGCCTTAACCTCGTTTTAGAGATAGGGGACAGAAAAATGAACCAGACTAGCACCTAACCACAGTTTTTATGATTAAAATTGTACATACAGATCCAGCTAATTTGCATGTATGTAACTAGTGAAAAATAAGTTTAAATTTGATGCACATTTAATTTTTCTAGGAACAACTGCATACACAGTTTAAAAGAGAAATTTAAGTACGATCTTAGTGTAAGTACAACTCTAAAGAATATTCACGCTTGGAACTCAGTGGAAGAGGAGATTCCACTTAGGGTATGCATTCACTGCTGTCAGTGCTTAAATGTGGGTAGTTTGCTACGAAACTGTACTCACATTTGTCCACCAAACTCATCTACACTGCAGTTGTTCTCAGCTTACTTGAGGCAGTAGGGCATCAGTAGTGGTCATTGCCTCAGATTACTATTGCTGCAGCACTTAAGATTTAGCCATCTTCAAAAGAATTTGTTTGCTCTTAGTGTAAAGGAGGATTTGTTGGAAAGTGCTGCAGTACTACACAGCAGCCTGCAAAATGTATAGAGAGCAAGTGTAATCAGCGTGCTGGTTTCCAAGATTTGTATACGTGAAGAGCTGCTTTAGGGGCAGCACTTGGACAGGAGCCACATTAAACTGCAGTGAAGACAAACTTTTAATAGCTCCCCAGTTCTTTGTTTTACTGACATCTGTACAATATTAACTTTGTATTTAAAGTGTATGCCATGCTTTCTGAATACAGTCATTATTCTTCTAACATAATGTAAATTTGTGTAACTAAACATCCACTTAGTCATACCTGCTATACATGTACCACGTAAACTGGTCTAATCCTTTTCTCTCACAATGTAATTCCCAAATAAACTGCTTTCTGAGTTGAGTAGATACTCAACTGATCAGTCTTCAAGATCATTTGCTTATTAATTCAAAATGTTTTTAAACTAATATCTTTTATGTTCTAATGAAAGTCATTGTTCTCAGAATGAGACTTGTTCATATGCACAGAAACTGAAGCCAGTTTCTGTTCCTGTTGCTGTACCCCCCATGTTCTGTATTCATCATACTGTCTGTGCTGTAGAATTGTGTTTAGCAAGTGCTTTTATTCATATCGTGAAGTCTGTTTGCTGCCTGATTTAAAAAAAATAGTGCTTGTTGTGGTCACAGTGATTTAAATGCTCCATAAAGTGTGTATTTTCCCAGCATGTCTAATTTAAAATACGTAACCTGCCCCTGTTGCCTGGCATGATTGTAACTGAACATACATCTCCTGCTTACGACATCATCTAGAGATGTATATGAGGAATGCTCAGTGCCATTCTCAGTACCCTTAGTACTAACCATTGCCTTGTCTGCATTTGTGCCCAGGTCATACGCCAGCCCTGGCTTGCGCTCCTAACAAAGACGTGGCTGACTGCCTGGCACTCATTTTGGCTACCATGATGCCTTTTTCTCCCTCCAGTTCAATGACGACTTTCAACTTCGTTTGTTTTAAAAAAGACAATTTGGGCAGGACACATCTCTGCGATGGCTCCAGTATGGGTAGCATTAACTCTTACAATAAGCCCTTGAGTAATAACATAGGAACAGAGGATGGGTACAATGAAAATGATTCGGATTCTGAAACGTTTTGACTTTTGGGTATTCAAAAACTTTTTCATTATTATTTCATTTCAGCTTTATTTTTGTGGTTTTAAACAGCTTAAATCCCTATATTCTTAACTATTGACAAGTAGGTATTGAAAGATTTGTAGTGTTGATGAGAATCAAGCCTTTAAACCACAAAGTTAGAGGGATTTACTGGAACGTATTCCCATTAATGTTCTGCAGCTTTTCAGCTTCCTCATGTTTTTGTTAGGCCCTAAGTGCCCCCGTGGAGTCTCTACCTCTTGTTTTAAGTAGAAAAAGAGAAAATGCCTTTTTTCTTTTTGACGGCAAATAAACAGGGAACTGTTTGTAAAAAGTTCTTACATGTTTTAGCTGTACCTTTAGTACACAAACATATTTCCAGTGTAGCCTTCATAGATTCAAGCATCACCCCTTTCCTCTGTTTGTCTATTTCCTGCTTCCAGGGGCTCTGTTAATTAGATTTTTTTTTTTTTTTTTTTTTTACAAAAACCAAAGGTAAAGTTGTAAATGTTAAAACTGCCTGTATTACTTTTCTACAGGAAATGAAACCTTTTACGTTCTGTGTGTATTAAGCACTTAAACCTACAGAAGGCACTTTTTACAGCTCTTAGTTGCAGCACACAATTAGAAAATATAAACTCTTAAGGCCAAATTCTGCTTGTCTCACCATTTTTCCCATGGACATTAGTGGAACCACTTGTGTAAAATGAAAGTCACTTGGCCCTTATTTTTTTTCCATTCAGCACAAACATGTACGGTTTATTTGCACTACAGAATTAGGGTCATTAGATGTTTCTGTCACCTGAGCCATTAACCATGACTAGTATCAGAAAAAAAAAAGAAAAGAAAAACCAGGTGTAGACAAAGGTGTATGTAAAAGTTTATAATGACTTGCCAACTTAAATGGATTTTTTTCCTTTTCTATGCTTAAGTAACTTATTTTTACTGTAAACTGTATCAAATTTTAACATACTTTTGCCAGTGTTGGGATTAACAGAGCAAGGGTAAAGCAATGAAAGCATAACACCAAAAGTTGAAATACCAAACACCAGAAAACATAGCAGTGTACCGTGCAGGGGATCGGAGATCCATGCTAAAAAAGCCTATTGTCACCAGCTTTTAAAGCAATGTCAACTTTGTGAATATGTTTACTCCTTCTGCCAAAGTTTCTAGGTCAAATGGACCACGACCCTCGTCTGCAACAGATGTACAAAAGGAAGAATGAGACTTTGTAAACAAAAGAAAAAAAAAACCTAAACAAAAAGCTATCATGAACTAACCAGCTGTACCAAGAGGACCAAAATGCTTCAGTAATTAAATGGAAGACTTTGCTACTTTTATTTTTTCTTCAAATGTGAGTGACATAATGAAGTAGTTTTTCTAAACCATAAAAATACAAACTTTTGAGGTAATGAGTAGTCTTGAGTGAATTTTACATTTTATGACGCAGGTTTCAAGTTGACATTTGTAACTGATGATGTGTTGACCACAGGGTTTTTATTTTCCAGACTAAAGAATATGTTCATATACTTTTAATGTAAATGTGTTTATATTTATTTGAAATGAAACAAATGCCCAGGAAACATAATATGGCTTGTTCTCCTAGTTAGTATTTGTGCATACTATTTGGCATGATGCAAAATGAAATGTGAATCTAGGCAAGACTGATGGCCTGAGTAGAAAAAGGAAGGGCTGATGCATTTCAGGAGAGTGCCCATCTTCTACGGAATGCAAAGATAAAGTCCACAGGCTGGATCACTTTCCACCATTTAAGAGCGTAAGAAGGGGATCCAGCCTCTTGCTAGACAAGTGAGAGAGCAGCGTACAGCTACAGTAAAGAGGGGAAAAGGTAATACAGCATGGAGTCAAGGTGGTAAAGTTCCCGTGATTCACACTCAGGCTGTCTGCAGGCCTACGTCGGTGCTGGGAGGATGAGATGAGATGAGATGAGATGAGCTTCCTCAGTGCACGCTTTTGGCAGGGCAAATGAAAAGTAAGGGGTTTTATTTTAGTTGCAGTTCTTAGCTGTGTTCCACTGAATTGTTAAAAAGCTATTGGCAGATTCCAGTTCTTTAATTAAGAAAAATGTTTATATATTAAGTTTATTTTGCCATGCAAAAATTAAATAGTTTCCTTGAACATTAGGTAAAATTAAATAGTTTCCTTGAACATTAACAAATTTCCAAAGTTTACAACAAAAAATCTCAAGGATAGTGTCTCTAAAGGTGAACACTCTGTATTTTCTGCAGTAGAAAGACAGAGCACCTGAAATGCTGGTTTTCTCCTCAGAAATAGCACAGAATAACATTTTTATGATTGATTTTTCTCAACGTTTTTGCTTTTAGGAGTTGCAAATAGCAATAACCACCTTACTTTAAGCACTGAAAATAAGAGGAGAGATCAGCAGTTAAAGTTTTCAGTGGTGTCTGTTCAGAAATTAATAGAAATCCCAAATTTTTCTTTTTTTATGTGGAATGATGGCATTGAAAACAAATAAACAAATGGGAAATGGCTACCACCTGTCTAACAGCAGGATCAGCCTTTTAATCTTAGCTTAACCACAGATGTAGATAGGCTTCTTGGCAGGATTAGTTCTAAGTCTCACCCTGAAATACAGAAACTTATGCTATCCTACAGGAAGTTGCTTCAGTAGGAGAAAACCAGGCCTCTTTACAAAGAGGATGTTGTATTATTTTAAGCAGCCATTTAAAAAAATTCAGTATTTTTACTTGCTACCATACAGAGTTACTGAAAATATTTCTGTATATTTGCAATACCTCGTAACTCTGGTAATTGCATAGTGCAACAACTGCAGCCTCTTAATGATGTATACAACATTATAGAAGCATAGGTTATTACTGAATTACTTTGATCCTTCTAGAAACCAAATCTAAACTTTACTGATTAAACTTTTCTGTAACACCTTTCTGTAAACTAACAGTGATGTAAGTATGCAATAGCCCAAAAATCATAGAAATATATAATTTGTTAGCTTCTTAAGGGCATTGGGAAAGTCATGTTTTGAGGACGGTGTATTTAGGAAGAAAACTGTCATGAGCAAGATGCTTGGAAGTACTCAGTATTGGCCTATCCCACGTCTCACGTGAGTTACCAGAATCCCTTTTTTTTGTATGCTAGTACATTAATCTGTAATATAATTTATCACATGTAGAAATAAATTTGTAATTTAGGGCAGATATTTAAGCATGAGAATAATTTTACTCTTGTAAATAATCACCTTGCTTTTCTGCGGACTTTTTACAAGAGTAGAGTTAATCATACATAATTGTTGCACTTAACCCTGGATCCTGCAATTTACAGTACGTGGACGACTTCCGGGTCTGCACGAAGCAAAGGGTATTTGGGGAGGGGCAGACGTCTGCCCAGGTGTATGAGCAGGATGGTTTCATCCGGCATTTTAACCACAGCTGCAGGTGGAATCCATAGCAGGATGGGGTCCCAAGTCTCTCTCATAAATACTGAGTTACAACCTCCAGACTGCCTGAAATTGCTGTGAAATAGCTCAGGGGATTTCTGTTCACCGCTACTAAAAGGGCACCATAATGTGTTTGGTACTTTCATGCAGTAAACAACTGCCAGATTATTGAACTAGAACAAACACATGAAATTAATTGTTTATCCATTGTACTGTTGAGAAACTTGGTTATGTATCTTGAGGACGATTTTAAAAAAAATTGTGATTTTTATTCTTAGTCATGTAAGAAATATTAGAGTGCCTTTTTATATTTGTGTATTATGGAAATGTTTTGTGAAACTCGTCTTTTTTTTTTTTGTTTGAGTGTTATAAAAGCAATATATTACCAGTAAATTTTCATTTCAGACCTTCTTTGAATGTATAAAGTGTTTCTTCTTTTCATATGTTCTACCTGCATTGAAATGAAAATTAATATGCTAAATTTCTATAGGAATAATGTATAATTTTTGCAGTGCTGAAAATGCTTTCTTATTACACAGAAAGTAAACCTTAGGTCAGTGTTATAGGAAAGGGCGTTTTAAACTAGTGACAATCTGAGTGTGTGTATAAAATGTAATTTTATGCGTTTCTTATGCAGTGATCTACATATTAAAGCCAATATCTTATGTTTTGTAGGTTTTGTCTTATATTTTATGCTTTAGCATGTGCAATATACCTTTACAAACCATGGTGATACAAATCTGGTGCCAGTGTTATATTTTGCATAACATTTGTAATAAACAATATAAAATATTGTTTGATGGTTTTAGTGGGGTTTTGTGGGTATTGTTTGCTTTTGTAAATTGAAGTTTAAGGACTTGGGTAAATGTCACATATGAAACAAGGAAAAAGACTTAATTCAGTGAATGACTTGGAATTCAACCTGAATCTTCTCAAGCACAGTTTAGTAACTTTTTCAACTACTGAATGCTGTATTAATGTAATGAAGAACCCTAACTGTAAACTACTATTGCAATGCATTCAGATGGTTATTTTTACAAATAAAAATGGTACAAATACTGTTGGAAAACTGAGTAAATTTTGTTTCTTTTAAAGGAGGGGGAAAGGCTTTAAGTATTGAAGTGAAGTGAAGAAGAGGAAAATGCGACTATATGTATTTCTACTTTGTACTTCCCTCATATGTAACTACCCCTTGTCTTAGTAAGTTGATGTTAGTATTGCTTCCTCCGTAGATTGAAAAAAAAAAGAAAAAAGTAACATTTTTGTCAGATGTTAAATATTTTACTGTTATTTTTCACTGATGAGCAACACCAGCAATCGTGGGTGTGTCGTGCATCCGGGTGCGGTGCATGTCCCAGAGACTAAAACCCAGTGAAGCAGAGTGCCTAAAGATAGCAAAAGATAGCAAGTTGTTAAAAGTGCTTAATTAAAGCAAACAAACAAAACCAACAAAAAAACCTTCCTCCCCTCCCCCCCAACCCCAAAACACCACCAACCACCAATAACAACGTCTTTTACGTGTTGAGTGCATGAAACTTTATGGATGTTGTGACTAAACTGCTAAGAGGCCGGGAACCGTAAAAGCACCTGAACAGCGGGGTTTGCAGGTTTATTTTCGGCAAGGTGAACCGCAGC